GGATTGTTGTCACCACTGTGTTTTGTTGTCTCTATATTATTGTTAACTATAACATATAATTGTTATCAGCAGTTATCAGGTGACATCAGTGCACTACCTTGGATGCAGGTCCAGGTAGAATTGGCCAACCTCTTCTCCTGTTTCAGTGTCACAGGCTGAATAAAGCTTGACATTTTCGTGCCACACGTGAGGGTGTTCCACCTTGGTGAACGTGAGACCCAGCAGCTCCTGGTAAATACCAAACAGTCCCTCTGTCACCACGTCCAGAGGAAAATACTCAATTAGCTTGTCTTTGTTTACAGCAAACTTGCACTGCTCCACTTGATTCATGTAGTAGGGCAAATCCCAGGCATTGATCTTCCCATCAAAGTGCAAGCCTTTCATGAGGCACTCTCTCTTCTTCAGTGCAAGTATGTACTTCCTCTCCTTGACGCCAACTGGCTTTAGTGTGTCGTAGAAAGTATCTGTTGTGCGTGAGAAAGAGAAGAGCACACAGTTTAAAACATAAGAGGTGGTTTCATTATGCTAACATTTCATCATGGACTATTTACTCAAGAAATTGGAATAGACAATGGATGTACTGTTTAACTGTTGGCATGGTTGAGAGAGGAGTATGCTGTTAGTGACGTTGAAGTTATTCGAGTACCTAAGGGGAACATTAATGAGGCGCATGACAATAATCTCTTTGACTGGCTGTCAGTGTGCTAAAACAGGACAGAATGAAATTGATGCTAAAAAGTTTACAGTACATAAGTGTAAAACCCTTCGGGAACGTGAGTATCACCTATTTTGATGAACCTATACTTTACAGTAGGACTGTGAAGGCAACTTTCTTTTATTGTTAAATGTGGTTCACCGTCTTCTTAAAAGCCTTTTTTTAGATTTATCACAAGCTCTCCAAAGACTTTTATTTTGAAATACATCTGTGTCAAAACGTTTGAATCCAGGCAGTTTTGAAATTAAATGTCTTTGGAAATAATAAACAATCAAACGTGAATATATTGTTTTCTCTGCAGCCTGGTCAAAGATGACTCACAAACCCCCCTCACTTATCAAATAACTAAGATTATTCCCATATACTCCCTGTGTTTTTAGTCATATATCATTCCATCTTCACTGGCAGTGGACCTTCAATTACCGTGTAAAATATGAGCATTTTTACTGCCTGCTTTCAAGAGCCATTAATTACTGTACTTGACCAAGACATATAAGAGGAATGCGATGTAAAACAGACTGCATGACATTACTAATAAACACGAGTGTCACGTTCCCCTCCTCTCACTCAGGCTGCACCAACCATCTGTCCTGTCATGTTCATTTTTATCTTAGGCAAAGCTGTTGGAGTCCACGTGTGTCAAAGCAGTCATACCTAGAAAGTCAGACACATTTCTGGCATTCTTAGCCATGTTCATTTCCAGAACATAATTTGCGTGACTGCTGTAACCAAGTAAGTCTGCGACCTTCGCCCTCAGTTGTATTAGCTGCTCGAGGATGGGTGTGTTTACCTGGAAAAAAAGGAAAGTTGTAGAAATAGATATGCACACCAGCAGGGGTATACAGTTTTTACAACATACTTTGGCCTTAGGTTTTTTTAAGTGACATCATCATGTCATGCTATATACAACAGCATGAAATCATTAGAGGCAGTTTAAATTGGTGGTGCTAAGGACAAAAAAAAAAGATTAGCTGCAAATAAAGACTTTTTTTTTTAGGAAAAGAACTCTACGTTCAGAACACACAGTCGTGTCATCAAGTCTCCTCTCACCTCTTTACACCTGCTGTGAAAAGCAGTTTCCATCTTCCTCCTGGTCTCAGGATTGTGACACCTCTTCATCAGGGGGTAGTAATGAGGGTATTCAAGTGTCACTTTATACTGTCCATTGGCTGTCCTCTCCAGTCCTTTGAGATAACTGTCTGCAAGGCCACCTTAAAGAAAAGAAAGAGGACGTAGCTATCGAAGCTGACACTGCAGTTATGACTAAAGGGTACAATTGTAATGGTCTCATGAGCCAACCCAGTTCGTGCTCGTGGAACACAAGAGACGTGGTGTCTTCATTCAAGTTGCTGGTGAATTCAATGGAGAGTTCACTGATTCGCTTGGAAAGTCTTTCAATCTCCTAGAAAGCAGAAAAGGCACAGTTTGACATCAGTCATGTTGGATGCTTTGATACAAATGGGATTTGTCATGACTGATGATCACAGCGTGTATGAGCTTAAAACGAAGTGCTTAAACGTTAAAACAAACAGCTCAGATATTGTGTTACCTCCTGTATATCTTTAGACAGGTGCAGTCCTCTCCGCTTTCCTAATGTGACAAGTCTGTCCAGGAATCTCTTTTCCTCAGGTGAAAGGTCACCCTGGTGCTTCTTCTGTCAAAGCAGGACAGGAACATGCTAAGATATGACTGAATTAAAACTTTAACATTTGTTTCCTACATGACATTAAGTTGAACTGCAAGGATTAAAAATAGAGACACTGACTGGCACTGATTAGATCACATTTGTTTTCAGTCTAAAGCATAAACAGAACCAGAGATAGGGTTAAATCAGAACACAGTACTACCGATAGAAGTATATATATAATAAATATATATATATATATATATATATAATATAATTACAGTACTTCCACATTTATAATCTGTGATCATGTGACCGACATGAACACATGACAGGCATCCATCAGTGACTGGATTGATGTGAAATAAGACCTCCCTTGGTAGATGATAATAGTATTTTTTGTAGGAATAGCAGTGTTTGAAATGAAGTCTAACAGTGTTTTGAAGCACAAGCTGTGAATGTGTCCACATGAGGGCACTGGACAATAGTCCTTATACAAAGGCGGAGCTTAAGGGTACTACAGAAAAAGTTTAGGAACCGCTACTATGAGAAGCAGATTCTTTATTTCTTTCAGTATGCCTAATAATGTCACTGTGGTGTAAATGCATGCATGACCAACCATGTGACGGGGGAGAGTGTACCTGCAAGGCAGTGAGGCGTTCAAAAATGTCTTCCCTCATACTTATCTCCACATCAAACTCCGACAGCTTTTTGTCTGCTTCGGTGCTCGCTGAGCGCACCTCCTTCGCAGGACTGACGTATTGTGGAAAGTCAAGAAAATGGCGTGATGCTGAGGAGAGAAACCAAGAGGACACAGAAACGATAAGCAAGTTAGCAATTTAAAAAATGGCAGATACAGACACTTAAATGTGTACCTCCCCTCAAAATAGCAGGGAGTCGTGTGACCCCCCGAGCTAACTACACAGACTGAAGGATATGAATTTTAACTACTCTTCAAAAGAAATTTCCGCCAAAGCAAATGCCCATGTTTACTGTGCAACTGTAAACTGACCTGCTGTAACTCACACCGTCAACAGTCTGTGTTAACCACCTCAAAGGTCAAAGTTTAATCGCTTCCCTCATGTCTATTATGAACTGAATGAACTTCAAAAAATTCAGTCTTCCCAACTGTGTTTAAATTGAGTACTCCCCATGATAATTCCACCTTAAGATCCGTATTTGGTGCTCAATAATGTACAAATGTATGTACTGAAACCAGGGATTTCACAAAGAAGAAAATAGATTTCAAGAATTAAATACTAGCTTTTTAACTAACTTTTTCCCCCTCATAGATTTATATTTACAATATTTTTTAAACAAGCTTTGTTTTGGCTTAACTTTGAAAACCATTTTTTGATTGTTGGCATGTATAATGTATAACATGCCAATCATTTTCTTACATTTTTGACATGCAAATCCACTCAAATGAGAACATGTTAATTTCATAAATTTGACTCACTTGTCGCAATTTGGTCAAAATGAATGTAAAGTTCACTCACAAGCATAATCCAGTTTAACATTGGCCACGGCCTTCAGTGTGTTTTCAACTGAGACGTTTTCCACGTTCAGAGAGCCGATGTCATCGTAGACCTTTTTCACTTGGTTAATCAGGTCGTCAGTCATGGTCCTGATCTCTCCTGGAGACAAATCCCATTTCTGCTGGTTTCTCTGACTTGTGGTCTGGGAAAAACCTCTGGCAGACACCAAAGTCCGACTGTGGATGGTCATTCTGAGCACAGGTCGAGACACGCTGTGGGAACGACAACAGCAACGTTACAACGTTGACTCTTGTATTTATGACAAAGAACAAAGTTACAAAGAAATGAATTGTAGCTTTACAGCCAAAGTGTTTAGCCTCTGTTATCTTTGTGTTGGAACAAGAAAGCAGGAGACATTTTAATTTTGATATATTTTTTATTTTTCCTATTGTTAGTTTTGTGGATATACCGTGTAATGTGACGACAGTGTGTTTTTGTGTAAGACAAAGACTGGTTACTTTATGTATTAGAAAAGTCTGATGAGGAAATTAAAGATGGCGGTAAACATGGTGTGTTGTTTGATGTCCTCAGTAAGGTTGGAGTTGAGCTCACACACACAACACGTCACTGTAATACAAAGGGGTTCCATCCATAAACACTGCCATACACTACAATACTACATATTTGACTGAAAACCAACCTGCAGTAAAGTAGCATCGGTGAAGAATTTCGATATCAGCGAGTACATAAATGAAAATCCATCGTGTGGTTTTGTAAAAATTGTATGGTATTAAACCCTCTTACATTCAAAACACACGTCAAAACCACTGAACGACCCCGTAAAAATGACAGATGCCGGGAACACAGAGCCATAAATTTGAGTCTAAGAACACTTCACTTTGAAACGTGCTTTGCATTTCTCCGGTCCTAAACAGTGACCCTCTGTCCAGGTCTGCTCAGAGTTGGGTTACAACGATATTACAGTTCAAAACAAAACCTCAAAGATAGTAGAACTACCAAGAGGACAGGACGAAAATACAGCCAAACATACACAGCTCGGTCATGCAGTTTATTTACTGTGCGGTAATATCACCAAATAAGAAAATGGAAACAGTGTTTATTAATTAAGTACTCATATTCATGTATTTTTAAATGACGTCTACCTGAGCAGCAATGTCCGGTTCACTGCTACAAACACCGCACACATGCTGGCGGCTTCATGCGTCTGTTTAGTCCCAAACAACGATCACAAACACACTTTCTTATCTTTGTTGTTTTCCAATAGCTCTGTTCCGCAGGTAGCAGCAGCAGAAATAGCAGCTGCCCTTGTCTAATCTATTTCCCATACATATGGAAAATGCATCTGGTTTCCGGTATCAGCGCGCATGCGCAGCGAGACCGAAGCAGAAGAAGAAGACAAGAAGAAGGAGGAGGAGGATGTGATCAATTCACAGACACAAAACATTCCTCATGACGCGGTAGCAGCAAACAGCTGGAGGAGATCGCAGGTAGGTGGGCGGAGAGGGGGGCGAGGGGGTTTACACATACATACAAACACACACAAACAGCATCCGTTGACTTTATGAGCTTTGTCTTCACCTGCTTCCATCGCCACTGATGACGCATCTTCCCTCAGTTTCTCTGTGATTGTTGCAGCCCAGCATCACATGCAGTACATGTCACGGAGGCGAGTCGTGCCGTGCTGTGCCAAATGTTAGTGTGTGGCAGTGAATGCATCACCCAACATACAGCTTTGATGCGTTTTTGTGATACTGTAATATGATCTGCGTACATGTGCAGCGGTAAAAAAACACAGCTCTGCTACCTCTGGGCTATTACATCACACAGCTCCCGCATCTCTGTGTGTACAGTACGTGTACACACACACACACGCACACACACAGGTCTGAGGGAGGAGCAGAAGCAGCATCATGAGTTAACAGCATCAAAACAACGCATGTCTGCAGCACGTGATGGGAATGTTAGGAGATATTTGTGTCCGTAAATAAATTTCCCACAGTGTCAGATTACTGCAGGGTGTACTGTATGTGATGACCTACCCCCCTCGCACCTCCTCCCTCCCAGGGCCCCTCTAAACACAGGCACCCTGCTATGCAGTTTAACCTAAACAGTATACAGTATCTGTTTTTAGTGTTTCCACAGGCAACAACAATGCATTTGTCTAATTCTACTGTGAAGAACCAAATAAAACATTATAACCGCTGTTACATTTTGTTGAGACTTAACAGCCTTTATTTATTACGGTCAGATGACAGCAGCTGACCCTACTATATTTGAGACCACCCAGTGACAAATATAGACAGCGTGGTCTTAAGTCGACCCTTGTGTGGCCCACAGTTTTCATTCAGTGCATTAATGTATACATTCACACACACACAGTAATAGATTGAATTGAGAAACAGAATTCTTTTACAAACTCCAAAACACCAAAAACCTCCATATATGATTTTTTTTTCTTTTTTAGAGATGTCCGATAATATCAGGCAACCGATATCATCGTCCAGATATTAGCATATATTATCATAGCATGTAATATCTGTAAGAATCGTT